AGGGAAAGTGTTCCAATCCTTTTATCATTCGAGTTGCCCTTTTCTGCACTTTTCCCAATGCTATAATATCCTTTCTGAAGTGTGGTGACCAGAATTGCACACAGTACTCCAAATGAGGAGCAACAGGCATGGCCGGGGTGCCTCCCTGGATTTCCCCACACTTCACCAACCAAAATGTCCTGGCTACACCCCTGCCCTGAGGCCCTGGAGAGCAGCTGCCAGGCTGAGTAGGAAATACTGATGTTGATGGATGATAGTCTGATTCATTATAAAACGGGTTGCCCACTCTGGGTTAGGAGTACCTGGAGATTTGGGGGGGGGTGGAGCCTGAGGAGGGTGGGGTTTGGGGCATAATGCCATAGAGTCCGGCTTCCAACGCGGCCATTTCCTCCAGGTAAACCAATCTCTGTTGCCTGGAGAACAGATGTAACAGCGGGATATCTCCAGCCACCACCTGGAGGTTGGCAACCCGGAGGCAGTTTCCTGTGCTGCTAGACTCTAATCTTGGCTCTTCTACTCCAGATTGACATGAAACTATTAAAGGGACAAAGATTCGGGTGGGGTTGCTGTGCTGGTCTGAAGCAATAAGTTTGAGTCCAGGAGGGCACCTTTAAGACCAACCGAGTTTAATTCTGGGCATAAGCTTCCCTGTGCACGCACACTAAGGAAGTGTTATCTGATGAAGTGTGTGAACACACCAAAGTTTATGCCCAGAATTAAACTTGGTTGGTCTTAAAGGTGCCGCTGGATTCAGACTTTGTTCTGTGGGAAGGCAAGATATTTAATGCCAACCACCAGATGCGGTCTGGAGTTCTCTTACAGCTGATGTCTGGAGTACACAGGTTAGTTGCTGGGGTTGCCAGGTGTGTGTGAGAGAGAGAGAATGGGGGGGGGCAGGGTTGCAAGGTCCCTGTTAGGAAACTTCTGGGGATTTGGGGACGGAGTAGGGTTGCCGAGTGGGACTTACCTTGCCGACGGGGGACTCCCGGGTGGATGCACATCACAGGGAAGTGACGTTATGATGCCGGGCATGCTGGAGGCGGGGCCACGACCATACAAGGGAAAACCATAGAGTTTTCCCTTGTATGGCCGTTACCCCGCCCCCAGCGTGCCCGGCATCATAACGCCACTTCCCTGTGACACGCACGCTGGGGCGGGGTTCCCCCCCCCGGGGCCCGATTCCCCGGCATCGGGAAATGGGCCTCTGGGGTGGGGGTTTCTCCGCCGCCCGGGGGGACTTGGCAGCCCTAGTATGGAGCCTGGGGAAGACAGGGACTTCGGTGGGGTACAAATCATTTATTTAAGCTTATATCCCACCCTCTCTCACAAGTGGGTTCAGGGCGGCTCACAACATACAAAATACACAATAAAATAGGAATCAACATATCTTTGACAAGCCTTTGTTGGCATACGTATGTACATACAATAGATCGGAAAATACAAATCCATATAGGGTAAAATTGGAGCTACGGCGCAGAAAAACAGCATGAAAGCAGAAAAACCTAATGGTTACTTATCAGAATGGATAGCTATAGCACTAAGAAGAAACCTTGCTACTATTTCGGTTATTTCTATATCTTGATTATCAAGCAAAAACAGACCCTTAAAATCGTCAGGAATCTCTGGGAATTGAGCTAATCTCCCTTATAAAAGCCGAATGGTGGTGCCACTTCTCTAGAACATTCCACACGCTCCGGAATTGGTTGGCGCCCTGGTGTGTCACTCACAGGGCGTCTCTCTCAATTCTTTGTGCTGCTACCTGTGTGGGTGATCTCCCGCCCATGGAGGCAGCGGCCACCCTTTTGCCCTCAGTTTCCTTCGAGCCGTGGCCGGGGCTGGGTGCTCCACTGGCCAGACACCCTCACTCGGCCTGCAGGCTCCAGACAGGACCATGCCACTGCTGCTGAGCCACGGCAGCCAGGAGCCACTACCAGCCAAAAGGAGGCCCAGGCCGACATGCGCTGGCTCCCCCCAACCACCTGGAAAGGCACCGGCGGTGGCCTGTTCCCTCGCGCCTCCTCCTTGCGGTCTGCAGATGAGGGGAGATGGCGCCGTGCCACCGCGCCTGAGGCCGGCTGGGGAGCCAGGCCCAGCCTGTCCCATCGCCCCGTGGCAGGGACGGACGAGACCAGGCGCCTTGGCTCGCCGGGTCCTCGAGCGCGCGGAGGGAGGGCCGAAGAGAGGGGTCCGGGGAAGAGTGCGGGCTGCTTCCCCGAGGTGGGGGGGAGGGAAGTGGACAGCGCCCTGCGCCCGGCCGGCCTTGCGCCCATTGTGGGGAGAGGGGCAACCCTGGCCAGCTTCCCCTGCCAGCACCTCAATCGGGCGGGGATGCCAGGGGGGGGGAGCCAGTCTCGACTGCACAGCAGGGGGCGCTTGGCTGGGGGTGGTGGCGGGAGCAGCCAACCCAGGTGCCTTGACCCACCAGGGCCTCGGCCCTGCGAGGAGGAATGTGGGCTGCTTCCCCAAGTTGGGGGGACGGGAAGTGGACGGCGCCCTGCGCCCAGCCGGGTTCACACCCATTGCGGGGAGAGGGCCGAGCCTGGCCAGCTTCCCCCGCTGGAACCTCGAGCGAGTGGGCGTGCTGGGGGAAGGGGCTAGGCCAGGCGCCTTGGCCCACCGGAGCCTTGACCGTGCGGGGCAGAACGGCCAGCTTTGCTGTGGGGGGGCAGATGGAGACAGCGACCCGCACCCGCGGCCAGGCTAGCACCCCCTTGTCTTCAGTTCCACAACGGGCATTCTTCCTAGTATAGGATACAGAAGATCCTGGCGGGGGCACCAAATAAAAGGGTCTTTGAAAGAGAACATGGGGGGAATCAACATATTATTAAACCAAGTTTAAAATAATTGAAACCAGATGGCGACTAAGACAAAAACAACAACGCCGGAGCAGTCTGTAGCGCCTCCTGCAGGATGTTAGGTAAAGGTAAAGGTTCCATCGCTCGAAAGCCAGTTGAATCCGACTCTAGGGTTGCGGTGCTCATCTCCGTTTCAAAGCCAAAGAGCCAGCGCTGTCTGAAGACGTTTCCGTTGTCATGTGGCCGGCATGACTAAACACCAAGGCGCACGGAACGCTGTTACCTTCCCACCGAAGTGGTCCCTATTTATCTACTTGCAATTTCTTGCTTTCGAACTGCTAGGTTGGCAGGAGCTGGAGCTATAGACGGGAGCTCACTCCATCATGCGGCACCCGGGTCTCGAACTGCTGAACTACCGACCTTCCACAGCCTGCAGTTCAGCGTCTTAACCACTTGAGCCACCTCGTCTGCAGGATGTTAGTCAAGTACTACATTTCTGTTGGGGGGGGGGGGAGGCCAAGATGGTTGCAGGTCCTCCGCCTCAGCCAAAGAGTCCGCCCTCCAAAGCATCCCTTTTCTCC